CTGGCACAGCACACACGATCACACACACACACTGACACACAATCCCGTAGCCGTACACATGTACGCAATGATTGAGCCATACACAGACACCCACGCACCTCATGCACACGCAGACACGCGTACATCAGCAGTCGTACATGACGTGTACATATACACTCACACACGCATTGGCACATACTGATCAAAATACAACACACACACATGAACACAAACACACACACACATGAACACAAACACTCACACACAGGCACATTGGAACACCCCAGGCACTGACCGCACAGACCACAATGACAAACATGCACACACTCACACGCACTGACAATACAGTACTCATAAACGCACTGACGCACACGTACACACAGTGACACACAGTGACACAGTGAAATCCGCACGCACTGGCACACTCACTTGCACAGACCCGCACTCGCAAACGTGCACTGACACAGCGACTGCACACACACACATAAACACACAGACACTGACACACACACACGCATAGACACACAGACACTGGCACACACGCACTGACACAGCGACTGCACACACGCACGCATAGACATACAGACACTGACACACACGCATAAACACACAGACACTGACACACACACACGCATAGACACACAGACACTGGCCCACACACATAGATACACAGACATTGGCCCACACGCATAGACACACAGACACTGACACACACACACGCATAGACACTGACACACACACACGCATAGACACACATACACTAGCCCACACACACGCATAGACACACAGACACTGACACACACGCATCTACACACAGACACTGGCACACACACACACACGCATAGGCACACAATGGCACACACACGCACAGACACACAGACACTGACACACACACACGCATAGACACACAGACACTGACATACACACGCATAGACACACAGACACTGACACACACACACACGCTAGACATACAGACACTGGCACACACACACGCATAGACACACTGGCACACGCACAGACACACAGACACTGGCCCACACGCATTGACACACAGACACTGGCCCACACACACGCATAGACACACATACACTGGCACACACATACGCATAGACACACAGACATTGGCACACACACATGCATAGACACACAGACACTGACACACACACATAGACACACAGACACTGACACACACAGGCATAGACATACAGACACTGACACACACGCATAGACACACAGACACTGACACACACACGCATAGACACTGACACACACACACGCATAGACACACATACACTAGCCCACACACACGCATAGACACACAGACACTGACACACACGCATCTACACACAGACACTGGCACACACACACGCATAGGCACACAATGGCACACACACGCACAGACACACAGACACTGACGCACACACACGCATAGACACACAGACACTGACACACACATACGCATAGACACACAGACATTGGCACACACACATGCATAGACACACAGACACTGACACACACACATAGACACACAGACACTGACACACACAGGCATAGACATACAGACACTGACACACACGCATAGACACTGACACACACACACGCATAGACACACAGACACTGACACACACGCATCTACACACAGACACTGGCACACACACACGCATAGGCACACAATGGCACACACACGCACAGACACACAGACACTGACGCACACACACGCATAGACACACAGACACTGACACACACACGCATAGACACACAGACACTGACACACACACACGCATAGACACACAGACACTGACACACACACATGCATCTACACACAGACACTGGCACACACACACGTATAGACACACAGACACTGACACACACACATAGACACACAGACACTGGCCCACACGCATAGACACACAGACACTGGCCCACACACACGAATCTACACACAGACACTGGCACACACATACGCATCTACACACAGACACTGGCACACACACATGCATAGACACACAGACACTGACACACACACATAGACACACATACACTGACACACACACACGCATAGACATACAGACACTGGCACACACACACGCATAGACACACTGACACACACACACGCACAGACACACAGACACTGGCACACACGCATCTACACACAGACACTGGCCCACACACACGCATCTACACACAGACACTGGCACACACATACGCATCTACACACAGACACTGGCACACACACACGCATAGACACACATACACTGACACACACATAGACACACAGACACTGACACACACACACGCATAGACATACAGACACTGGCACACACACACGCATAAACACACAGACACTGACACACACACACGCACAGACACACAGACACTGGCACACACGCATAGACACACAGACACTGGCCCACACACACGCATCTACACACAGACACTGGCCCACACACACGCATAGACACACAGACACTGGCACACACATACGCATAGACACACAGACACTGGAAAAACACACACGCATAGACACACAGACACTGACACACACGCATAGACACACAGCCACTGACACACAGACACTGACACACACACACGCATAGACACACAGACTCTGGCACACACACACGCACAGACACTGACACACACACACGCATAGACACACAGACACTGACACACACACACGCATAGACACACAAAGACAAAGACAAAGATCCCCCGTATAGCCTTCACAGACTGTAGGGGCAAGTGCTGTTAGCGAGCACCTATGAAGGCCAGAACGGTACACGAGGGGGTGGGTGGCCAGCACCACGCCCGACCGCCTTTGTCTCCCTAGCGGCGATGTTTACACATCGCACCAGGTACTCATTTGAGGCTGAGTCGACCTAGGGGAGGCCCAGGACCAGTTCAGATAATCGTCACTGGTGTTAGCCGTGAGCGGGAATCGAACCCGGGTCGCCAGGTTCGTAGCGCAGCGCGCTAACCGCTACACTACCGCTCCCCACAGACACACAGACACTGACACACACACACGCATAGACACACAGACACTGGCACACACACACACATAGACACACAGATATTGGCACACACACCCATAGACAGAGACACTGGCACACACACACGCATAGACACACAGACACTGACACACACACACGCACAGACACACAGACACTGGCCCATACACACGCATAGACACAGACACTGACACACAGACACTGACACACACACACGCATAGACACACAGAGACTGACACACACGCACGCATAGACACACAGACACTGGCACACACGCACGCATAGACACACAGACACTAACACACACGCACGCATAAGACACACAGACACTGACACACGCATTGACACACACGCACTGGCACACAAACTAAGACACTGGTATAAAGATTCCACGAATACCTTCTGGTCCACACACTGGTACACACACATGCTGGCATACGCGCGCACACACACAGTAACATCCACACTACCATCTACACGCAGACGCACTGACAACACCACACACACTGTCACCCACTCACACTGTCACTCACACACACTGTCACCCACTCACACACACTGACAACACCACACACACTGTCACCCACTCACACACTGTCACCCACTCACACACACTGACAACACCACACACACTGTCACACACACTGTCACCCACACACACTGACACCCACTCACACTGACACCCACTCACACACTGTCACTCACACACTCACACTGTCACCCACTCACACGCACTGACACCCACACACACACTGACACCCACACACACTGACAACACAATACACACTGTCACCCACTCACACACTGTCACCCACTCACATACTGTCACCCACTCACACTCACACTATCACCCACTCACACACTGTCACTCACACACACTGACACCGTCACTCACTCACACTGTCACCCACTCACACACTGTCACCCACACACACACACGCTGTCACTCACACACACTGTCACCCACTCACGCTGTCACCCACACGCACTGACACCCACTCACACTGACACCCATTCACCCACTCACTCACACACACTGACACTCACACACACGCACTGACACCCACTCACACTGACACCCACTCACACACTGTCACTCACACACACGCACTGACACCCACTCACACTGACACCAACTCACACACTCACTCACACACACTGGCACCCACTCACTCACACACTGTCTGTCACCTACTCACGCTGTCACCCAAACACTGTCACCCACACACACTGACACCCACTCACACACTGTCACTCACATACACTGACAACACCACACACACACTGTCACTCACACACTGACAACACCACACACACACTGACACCCACTCACGCTGTCACCCACACGCACACTGTCACTCACACACTGTCACCCACTCACGCTGTCACCCACTCACACACACACTGTCACCCACTCATGCTGTCACCCACTCACGCTGTCACCCACTCACACACACACTGGCACCCACTCACGCTGTCACCCACACGCACTGACACCCACTCACACTGACACCCATTCACCCACTCACTCACACACACTGGCACTCACACACACGCACTGACACCCACTCACACTGACACCCACTCACACACTGTCACTCACACACACGCACTGACACCCACTCACACTGACACCAACTCACACACTCACTCACACACACTGGCACCCACTCACTCACACACTGTCTGTCACCTACTCACGCTGTCACCCAAACACTGTCACCCACACACACTGACACCCACTCACACACTGTCACTCACACACACTGACAACACCACACACACACTGTCACTCACACACTGACAACACCACACACACACTGACACCCACTCACGCTGTCACCCACACGCACACTGTCACTCACACACTGTCACCCACTCACGCTGTCACCCACTCACACACACACTGTCACCCACTCACGCTGTCACCCACTCACGCTGTCACCCACTCACACACACACTGTCACCCACTCACGCTGTCACCCACACGCACAGGCACCCGCACGCACCTCGCCGCTGCTCGCCCCGTGTCGCCCCGCGCTCTGAGCCGAGCGCGATTTTGTTCCCGTGCACGAGCAGAGTCGAGATCTCGCGAGACTCACGGCGAGATCGGGGGAGGGCAGCACATACTCACACACACGCAGGAACACACACACAGACATGTTCATAAACACGCCCAAAGACAAAGATCCCCCTTCTAGCCTTAATATACTGTTGGGACAAGTGCTGTTAGCACGGACCTATGAAGGCCGGCAAGGAACACGAGGGGGTGGGTGGCCAGCACCATGCCCGGCCGCCTTTGTCTCCCAAGTTGCGATGTTCACACATCGCAGCAGGTGCTAATTTTTTTAGGTCGAGTCGACCTTGGAGAAGCCCAGGACCGATTCAGATATTCGTCACTGGTCTTGACCGTGGACGGGAATCGAACTCGGGTCGCCGGGTTCGAATTGCAGCGTGCTAAACCACAACACTACCGCTACCATAAATGATACACACGCTCACACATAGACACACACACGATTCTTATTCTTCTTCTTTCGTATGGCATTGAGAAAAGCAACAGTTTAATTTTTTTCTTAATGATCGTCATAAATTAATGCAAAGGTTCCTCATCCAGTCCAATGATGTAGTTGACGCAGTGTGGATTTCAGCGATACCGCCAGGATGTGCATGGATGGAGCATTCATCGGTGATGTCCTTGATGATTTGGATTTCTCGACAATCGAGGTTGGGCGATTCTTTGATCTTCCATTTATGGAATGCGTACGCACATCTGCCGTGTTGTGTTTGAGCGCGGTTCAATGTGGTCCATAGTCGTCTTGGAAGAGAGAATCCCGGTACTTCCACCGTCGGATCGTGAATTATGTTTTTGTTTGCCACGTCCATAGCCGCCCATGATTCAGACCACCGAGTGGAGGTGTCTTTATTTTCGGCTGTAGAGGCACGTATCCAGAACGGTTTCCTGGATTTTAGCCTTGGGCATGGGGGTTCCTTTAGATCTTGATGGAGCGGCAGAGTGAAGTTTTTCATTATCTTGTTGTTGTCCTCCCGTGTCGTTGCATCATTGTGTCGCATGTTGGCCGGAGCGATATTCGCCAGCACTGGAAGTCACGGGAGCGGAGTAAACTTTAGAGAACCGCTGATGATACGAAGCGCGTTGTTAATTTCGGCGTCGACAAGGTTCGTGTGAGGGCTTGCACCCCACACCGGTGCACAGTACTCCACAGTGGAGTGAACTACGGCCTGCGTCGATATCTTGAACGTGCAGGCATCGCTTCCCCAGGTTGTTCCTGCAAGTTTCTGAATAATATTCACTCGTGCTTTCTTTTACCTTTAGCTTGTTTGAGGTGGTGACGGTAGATAAGCGTCCGATCCAGAGTAACTCCTAGATACCGAGGGTGTTCATCATGCCTTAGTTTCGCCGCCCGCATAAGTTAACGTTCAACATTTTAGAGGCTTGTCTGTAGTTCAGGTGGAAGGCGGAGATGATGCTCTTCGATGGGTTTGGCTTAAGGCGCCAATTCTTGAAGTATTCTTCCAGAGTCTTCAGATCTTTTTTGAGGACTGCCTCAGTGTCCTCCATATTCCGTGCTTGGGTTGCAAGTGCAATATCATCCGCATATGTGAACATACGACAATATGTCGTTGGAATGTCACTAGTATATAGATTGAACAGCGCTGGTGCCAGAACTGGTCCCTGTGGGAGTCCATTGTTCAATATTCGTGGGCTGCTGGCAGCTTCACCAAGGTGGACGGTGAGCCATCGGTTGCTCAGCATTTCGGTGATTAGTCTAATTGTCGGGCGGCAAGGCATGGCTTTCGCAAGCTTCAGCAGTAGTCCCTTCCGCCATACAGTATCGTAAGCTGAAGAGAGGTCGATGAAAGCTGTCGCAACAATATTCTTAGATGTTTTCGGTAAAGTCACGTTAGGTAAAACATCAAAATTAATAAAATAATAAAATAAAATAAAGATCACGACGTTTCGGAGGCAACACAAGTCTCCGTCATCAGGTGGGACAGTCACAGCCAGATTAACTGCATCAAGTGAGGCAATGATTCAAGATGTAATCCCTTAAAAGCGAGTTGAGGGGGGAGGAGAGGGGGGGGGGGGCTCATCAGAATGTGGTAGCCAATGAATGGAAAGTATCGGGAGAGAGGGGCCAAAATCTGTCGCAACAATTTGGACCAGTTCTAAATCCTGCTTGTTCCCGGGGAACTATTTCATCAAGCGTGGGCATCAGCCTAGGCATTTTCTTGCTCTTGGTCCCAAGTTCTTAATGAATTCTGGATAAATAGCGTCAAGACCTGAGGCTTTCCCGCATTTCAACTGGGCAATACCAACATCTGCTTCCTCCACTGAGAATGGATGGGAGAATTCTGAGGTTTCTTGGCAGTTATCTAGTGTGCAAAAAGTTATTTGTAGACTTGCCGTCTTATGCTTTTGTCGATTGAAGTTCGTGAATTGTTGATAAGTTGCCTAGAAATCTCGTCAGGACTGACTTGCAGAGGTTTATAGGCTGGCGTCGCGGCAGCTCCAATCAACCTCAGGAGGCGCCAGGCTCTACAGCTCGATTTTGCAAAGTCAAGTGCCTCAACTATTTCGCACCACATTTCTCTTCTTTGCCAATTCAGTGAATCGAGTAAGGCTTTTGCAGTCTCCTGCTTCTTATCAGCATTGAATTTCCGGAATAGCTGTTCGCTTTCTGGAGTCCAACACGCAGTGAAGACCTTTCTGAAGCCTCTTGCGATGTTGGCCTTGGCAACTGCCTTGATGATATCAATGAAGCGACAGTAGTTGACTGCGTGTGAAGGTATCATTCCAACTGATTCTTCCAAGTCCGCAGTGAAATTTATCCATTCAGCTGATCTCAGATTCCCACGTGGTTTTGGTGCGCAGCGGAATAGCGGAATCTGAAGACCGATATGGATCACTGCAGGTCTATGTTGGCTATTTGGAAAGTCGTCTAGGATTGTTCTCGTCGACAGCATCGGATTTCTGTTCAGGTCCCGAGACACAAAACATAAATCGGGCGGATAGCACTTTTTCCACCTCGCTGACTTGAAAGTACCGTGGTCTTTTGTGTCATAGAGCAAGTGCTGGTCTTCTGCCGCTGCCCATGATGTCAGTTGTTCACCAGCTCTATCGTTGGCGCTATAGCCCCACAAGGTGTGATGACTGTTGAAGTCGCCTATGTGGATGATAGGGTGGCCGGACACGGCCATTCCATATCTGGAGGCTTGTAGACATTGACCACTGTCACGTCGTTGATCTTGATGGCGATGTCGTGTGGCGAAGTGTGTGGGACGACTTGCACCGTGTCCTTCAGGTCGTTCTTTACGTATGTTGCAAGGCCATGTTTTGTATGGTGGCCTGCAGTAAAGGAGAGTGTATCCGATTATCTTTGATCGAGGGCATTGTCGATCCAGATGCGTTTCTTCCAATGCAAGGACTTCGACGTCTTTAAACTGGAGAATCTTCGCAATGGAATCGCATTTCACACTGGAGGGGCCCTCGATATTAAGCTGCTTGATTCGCAGCGATGGACCGACATTCACATTGCTCTGATCTTGTGAAATGCTCTCTGTGCTGTTGCTTTTCAGGCCGGGATACCTTTGTCGGGTATTCGGCCGCCGGTGTGATGACATTTGTTGTGCTTTCGCACGTAGCAGGGAAGACCGCGAGCAGGTTGTCATCTTCTCTGACACACACGATCAAACACACGCTCACACATAGACACACACACGCTGACACATAAAAAAAAACGGTAACCGAATTTAATGCCGGTTACCGGTTTTTCCCCACACGTTTCAAAATGTTTATAACAATAAACATGACCACATCGAAAAGTTCTGCCCTGCTTTGAGGCTTAGAACACAATTCCATTTCCCGGCGCGGCACCCAGCGGTAATGGTTTCACTGCAGTGAGTCGATCGACAGGCTAAGTCGCGTGTGGCGGGGTAACGTGTCGGTACGCCCACACTTGGACGAGTAGACCAACTACCACCCCAGATCTCCTTCTTAGTGGAGGCTTCTTCCGCCAGCAGTGGCGCGAGCGAGCAGTTTACAGGGGCCCGCGCCCTTACCTCTACAACTGGGACACGAGGGCAAGGTTGCGGCCACTCGGTAACTTGGGCCTGCCGCTGTGCCGTTGGTGCCGCCATGCCGTTGGTGCCATCGCGGAATTCGCGCGCGTCACAATGGCAACATTCCACCGGAGACGGTTACCGGTTACCGACTGTCGTAAAGGGTAACCGGTTTTGACCGGTGTTTTTTTTCATGTAATAAAATAAAATAAACCGGTTTTAAGCACCTAGCTGAATAGTTGGGAACTCGCCAGAGGAGGAGGTGGCAGCGCTATGCGACGCATAGGGGCCCAATCGGCCACAATAAAGGGGGGGCCCGAATCAACAGATATAAACATGTAAAACATTTAAATATATTAAAGAAATAATTATTCATTAAAAAAATAACCTGCGGTCTACCATGTACCAAGCACGATGATTAACGCGTCTGGCTATCGGGATATCAATAGAGCAACATCACGTGGCGCGATCCACCTCCTTTGAGAAAATCCTAGACCCACGGGGGCTCCGCATGAAAGCAAGACTCACGATAACTTATTTGTGATTAGTATTGTACTTCTAAATATGTTTTTATTAATCCTGTCACTGTGAGAATGTCTTCATCTAAACCCAGCACACGGTGCAGCTAAGACAATCTACGTATATTATTGTGTACTGGGTTAAAAACATCCTCAGGAGCTATTTCAGTAAAAAGTGAGTCGGGAGAATGGAGGGGGGCGAACCGTCGGATCTAGCCCCTCCCCCCCCCCCCCCCAGTGAAATCGGTCGTGACGCCCTGGGAGGGATGATGCGGGCTGAGGAAGGGGGGGGGCATGCCTCACTGCCGCTTGCCCAACAACAACAACCGCCATTCGCGCTGACGTCACCAAGGCGCTTGTGCCAGGCTAGGTGTCCACGCATAGCAGATGCACTCACTCGCGAGAGGAACACAGTCAGCCAACCAAAATTGTGTTTGCAATTTGTCCCATTCCTCGTGTAATTGATGCAGTCGGTTTTTTTGGGAGGGGGGGGGGGCGA